ATGTGTGTGTTTGCAGCTTTGTACCTGCACGTTTCTGACGTTGAGCGATTGACTCTTGCAGATGAGAATTGGTCCGATCAGACCCGAGGAGATGTCTCGTGGTGCGTTTACTGCACTGTGGTACGGTCGGGTCAGACATCGAGGGTCTCCATCCAGAGGTTCGTCTTCTTCCATGACTTTCCATACGTAGGTGTGTGTCTCACCTGGCTGAACACCGTGAGACTGGTTTCCTGGCAACAGCATCACAAAATATTCCATCAAATAAATAAATATTTCAGTAACTCTTTGCAGTAATGGTACAAATAACCGATGTATGATTAGTTCATCATTGAGTTTGATGTGCAACCACGTTAGCTGGAGTTCAGCTACAGAAAACTTTATATCTGGCTCAATATATTTACTCAGCCTGTCTGAAAGCACAACAGCAGAAGCAAGCTTTTACAAAATATGCACAAATATTTGCATTTCCGTGATGTTAACAGTGAGCAGCAGGAATTCATGATTCATCCTGCCTTAATTCATGTAATAAATGATCAGAAGTGGACTGCAAGGTGACTCAGTGGTTAGCACAGTGGCCTTGCAGCTAGAAGATCGCTGGTCCTTGTCCTGGTGGGGACACCTGGGATCTTTCTGCATGGATACATCGAATGTAAACAAACATTACAAAGTCTGTGACTGTAAATAACAATACATTTCTATTTTAATTTCACAAATATTTCCTTTTTATTTGTTAGATGAAAATGTGAAATTCAAATTTCATATTGTACATAAATATAAATTTAGATACAGGTGATAAATAACAGATGATGTATTGTTCTGTAACTTAACATCAGAGTTTTGCTAATTTTTTTTTTCATTAAACAACAAAATGCCATAAAATACATATTATCTCATGTCACGTTAAGACTAGAAGCTGTATTTTAAATATGACAAATTATTGTAGAGATGGTTATTTTCGGGGGCGGGGGGGGTTGTTCATTTTCTTTTCTTTTTACAATATTTCTTGGTGCCTCTGCTGCTCTATATTAGAGGGTTTTTTTGGTTAGTTTTTTTTTTTTTTTTTTTTTTAAACAGATTTTTCTCTAACAGTGTGCAGCTTTTTCTATAATGTACCCAGAGTGAACATCTCAGCTTCATAAACAGGTAAATCGATGTGTTTGAGAGCGTCAGTACCTCCTTCTGGGTAGTTGACTCCTTCCTCTGACTTCTCCACCGTCAGCCCATGTGGGTAGATGCTGTAGGGCCTGGAGGCCATGTTCTTAAAAACTATCTGCAAAAGAAGAGGGTTTATGAGGACACAGTCGATGTTTAATGATTATACAGAATCTGCAGTCCAGCTTACTTTCTGTTTGTTGATTTTCCACCAATGACGAGGTTAAAGTGCTGAATTTCAGCTTTAATACGATAGTTTGTGTTTCCATTTAGAGCAGAAGAGCAAGAAAATGGAAGCATTTTATGCAGAGATCCACAATGTTTGGACGATTTTTAATTTATTTATTTTTAAACAATTTTGTTTCTTGTCTTGACAAACACGGTTTTCCTCGGCCAGAGCTGAGTGAGAGGCAGCTGTTAGAGTTTATAGTAAAGCAGGCGATCAGATTTAGAGTGCAGAGCAGGCGGATCAACCTCAGACCAACTCTGCTCTCCAACCACAGATCAAAGGAAACCTAATTATTACATACATGCAGCAAAACATTCAATTTGGAACACAATCAAACCAAAACTCAGACAAAACTTCACTGAGTCAGTCTGTATCAGTTCAGACAGAAATCAGGAAATCTGTTGCTTCACTGTCGTCATAAATGCGTTCAATGAGGCCAAAAACCAGATTCCTGAAAACATTTGTTGTTGTCTTTTGAGGATGAAAATACAAAGAAAAATCCCATGACTGCTAAAAATTCTGCCAAAATATGTTGCAGGACTTTGGTTAACCTTTACAGACAACAATAGAAAGCAACAGATGAAACACAACTTGTAAAATGTGTGACTACATGTTATACACTGAGGATCGCAATTAAAACATCAATTAAACTAATTAAAACTAGTTTCTTGATGAACTTATTTAGCATGTCCACTGTTTCCTCACCTCATTTTATTTTTAAATGACACCATCCTTGATGTTTTGAGGTATTTTTGAACTGACATAGATACCCACAAAGCATATTTAATTGAAACGCTTGCAGGGAGAACATGTATAACTAAAAAAAAGCTGAAAAAAGCAACAACCAGGAGTTTGCTGTTGCTGTTGTTCTGACCTTTATTACACTAAAATGCAATTCGGATCATAGTTTATTCGCTCCTTCCCCTGTTACTGTTACTGATTGATAGGAATTGTTGCACTGGAGTGATTGTGAGCTACTGTTTTTCCTTCTGAAGCTCTACGGGTGTCATCTGAAACACTTTGACTTGGTTTTAAATAAATCCCGTGTTACCTTGATAACATCTCTGATCTGTGCTCGGATCACTGGACCCAGGATTCCCAGCTCGTTTTTCCTTTGCTTGTTCTCCAGCCTTTCAGTGAAGGTCTCGTCACTGTATTGAGTGTAAACCGCCTTCTTGTACCTGCCACCTATCCGTGTCGATGACTGCTTCAGGTACATATGCTTGAAGTCCCTGTGAAAAAATACAAGTTTTTTTTTTCATATTGAGACAATAAAAACAAAGCTATTTATGTCAGAAATGGAAAAACAAAACATAGGAGCAGTTTTAATGAATCAGGAACACAAAACCTGTATTTTGCTGCACATTAATTAGTTTGCATATAAACATTTAACCATCAAGCAACCAAGTGAGATCATTTATCGCCCCAAATGTATATTTTTATGTGCAAATGTAATCAGTTGATTTAAAAAAAAGTCTTCTACCTTGAATTTTTTTGTCTCCTACAACTTTTTATAGTCTTTTGCAGGAATTTGCTATTTGATGTGGCATTATAATGAAACATTGGTTGAAAGATATTTATATTTATTTCAAATTTTAATTTTATTTTCCACTTCTAATGGCAACAATTTTATGTTTTGCAGTGAATCATGGCTAACAGACCTCAAGTAGCGAGATTTACTGCCATGAAAACAGCTCAACTGACAGCTGTTTTGCACAAAAACGGTTGAAAACCATAGTTATTATTATTTCAGAATATCTGTTACAGAAAGAAGCAGTATAGGTATGAAAAACACAATCACAACCTTCAATAAAAAATAAAAAATAAAGTAGTCCTGTGTAAAAATATAGTAGGAAATGTGCCCACTCGGTCATTTTGGTTGCTTGGTGGCTTGAGGGTTAAAGGTCAGGTGATGTGTTTATTTCAAATGTGTCTGTAAATGTTTCTTACTCATCAATATGCTCATGCATGTTTGGTGTATAGTTCCAGATGATTTCCTCAGCAGCTATGTAGTATTTCCACTCCGTGCTTTCTCGCCGTTGTGCGACGGTCATCCTTCGCACCGGTTCTTTAAAGGCATCGCACTTCTTCACGTCCACAAAAGCGTGCATGCCGGCTGCAGTAATGGGGAATACGTTATCTTTTACTGTCACTTTAGCGCCATGCACTGAATCTTTTCATGTCAGAGTGCAGATTTACCCTCCATGTGCTTGATGGTGTGTGAGGACAGCAGCCAGCGGCCGGTGTGCAGAGCCACCATGCTGGCGGTGGCCGTCGAGCCGCTGATCAGCCCCACTGACGACACTTTGTGGCCCGTCTGCTGCAGCACCTGGCCGTTCAGGTGCACCGAGAAAACCTCTGGCTCTGAGCTCATTCCCACCAGATGCAGGCTGACGGAGGCGTGGGCGCACACGCTCACATCTGGAAGGAAGACAGGACGGTTGGTGTGTTTTATATTTGCTTTCTTTTATATATGCAGAACCTCAGATTTTCTCACTGGACTGCACACTGCATACACTGGAATGTACTAGTGAGCGTGCATCTGAATACACAAACACATAGATTGATTCTTTATTCATCCTCTTGGGGAAGTTTAAAGTATGCAGTAGCTCACACGCTACATTTAAGACAAATAAGGAAACGAATGTGAAAGTAATGTGCAAATTTAGCTGGTTGAAGAAACGAGGTGCAAAATTGTGTTAAAAATGAAAATGTCTAAATACAGTAGAACAATAAAAATACTAAATAGCATATAGTCGCTATCAGTTAAACATAAAGGATGCAAAAGATTTTTATTTTAAATAACTGCCGTAACATTTAATCATAGATGCAACAATACACCGGACAGGTCTTTTTTTCTTCAGCATATCAAACACAGAAAAGTATCATAAATAAGGTGCACAACTCAAGAGGTTACTGCCCCAAACACACGACTAAGAAAGAGGACAGAAGAGTAAATGATGAGTGTTGCATATTAAATGATACATTTTGAGCCACAAGAGAATAAATATTAAAAAGCAGCACAGAATGCCTGAGAGCCCCATTGCACAATATTATGTTCTGGTTTAAATTGTCACCTGGTGCTTGCATTTGAGTTTTGATGCTGAAAAGGAACAAATTAGTGCATAAATATTCACCAGAATGCAGGAAATTAAGTGTTTGATTTCAAAAATTTTTTGTGCTGTCTGTAATCTTCATATACTGGAAGGATGAATGTCAATTTTCCAAAAGATTTTCCTTTATTTATAGTTTTGATGACAAAACAAAATTCAACAGGTGTTGAGTTAGGTATATGTGTATCATAATTTTCATCAAACCATTCAGTGACACCTCGTGCTCCTCCTCATACCACTCTGATCGGAAGAGAAGAGTTTCATTATAGGATAAAGATCGGATGAATACGATTTTACATGATTTGCATGGATATCTTTGTCTTCAGATTACCACACAGTTCACAGTTGGAGTAAAAGTTGTAGAACTAGTGTTGGAATATGAATCTGCTGCAGTGGTTTGTTAGTCGTAATCATAGACTGTATAAAAGATGGGCGTAGCAACCGGCCCTGAAAAATGAAGCCAACCCGGAAGTGTCAAAAACCTGCAATATGACTACGTCCACTAGTCCTGGCTCCAAAAAGCCCTGGCTCCCATAGGAATGAATTGGAAAAGAAGTGATCACAGATCATGAAATACTGCATTCCTCTAGCTCAGGATTTTAAAAAAAATTAGTTTTCATGGTCAAGTCCAGAGATCAGGTGGCCAATCTGAAAATAAATCAATACTAAATTTTTTAAAAATCATCAACATTTTGCGGAGCAAGGGGCGTGGCCGGCTTGATTGACAGTCGGCAGCGACCATACAGACGAAGCGAGCAGAAGGTGGTAAATGTGGGCGGGAAGAGAGGGCCCGCCTCTCAATCCGTCTGACCAATCGCTGCTCCTATGGCTCCGCCCCCCTCTGATGATTTTTGCATCATTGGCTCCAAAAATCCAAGATGTCAACCAGGAAGTAGCAAAACCCTGGCTTCATTTTCTCAGTGCACAAACCAACGGGTGACGTCACGGTAGCTACGTCCATCTTTTATACAGTCTATGGTTGTACCTGAACCAGGCTAACTTTTTCCTTTGTTTCCAGTCTTTGTGCTAAGCTAAGCTAACTAGCTGTAAATTCAAGTCTGATCTTTCCACTCTCACATGCTTTTCATGCTCAGCACTTCACACATGTGCACATCAGATAGAAACTGAACAAACTGACCAGGCAGTGATCCTGTTGTGTATCCGTTGATGGTGTGTTTCACATGGTTGTCTGAGCTGTGCCCGTTTGGTTTGTACTTGCTCTCCTTCTCATCAAAAACCCCAAAGAGGAAGACATACTCCTGATGGAAGCGGACCTGCTTCCCCGAGTCATCCAGACTGCCTGCAGAGTCGGATTCATCAGAATTAATGACCTGGTGATTTAAAAACAGCAGCCACTCATCAAGTGAAAGACATTTTGCTGCTCACCAGGCTTGCAGATGAGCAGAGTCCCGATGAGGCCTGAGTTGTAGTCCTCCACCACGTTCTGGTGGGAGATGTAGGTGTAGGTGAGGCAGGCGGGGTCATCCTGCTGTGGAGAAACCTCTGGAGTCACCTCCCAGTAGTAGACGTGTTCACCGTTTGGCCGCACGATGTCGTCCTCCTTCTCTTTCTGTGATGTGTTGTCAAAGTAGTTGGCACCTGCAAACACAGAAACACTCAGTTTGATTAAGGACAGAACTCTCTGCATTATAGATGAATAATTTTAAATTTAAAAGCACTTTGTAGCGTTGTTTGTTCCTGTCACATTTGCCTTCACTGGAGGGTCATTTTCTCTGCAAATTGAAATTCCTGCACTTCAATAGAAACAGTACAACCATGAGTAGAAGTAGATGTCTTCTGTGCAGTATCATACAGTCAGAATCCCACAAATCAATAAATCAGGTTGAATTTGTTTGATTGTTTAATGTACAAAACTTGAGAAACCTGGAATCAACATGTCCAATGTTTGAGGTGTTACCAGTATTGTATATAATAAACCCCATCCATCAACTCCAGAAAGACGTTTCACCGTGTTGAATGTATCGTCCAACGACTTGCTCCTCTGGATCCTGTTTTTGAGCCATGTTGTATTTATTCTATTGATCCAGTATGTTTTATTTTCCTCCCACATGCAATACTAGCATTTTTACAAATGGTAACTTCTTCTTCTTTTTATAAATTGTATATTTTTTTTACAAGGTATGACCCTCTTCGGAGCTGCAAGGTGGATCAATGGTTAGCACCGTCGCATCACAGCTAGAAGGTCACCGGGTCGCGTCTTTCTGCGTGGAGTTTGCATGTTCTCCCTGTGCAGCGTGGGTTCTCTGGCTTCCTCCCACACAGTCCAAAAACATGTTGAGGTTAATTGGTGATTCTAAATTGTCTGTAGGTGTGAATGTGAGTGTGCTTGGTTGTCTGTCTCTAAGTGTAGCCCTGTGATAGACTGGTGACCTGTCCAGGGTGTCCCCAGTCTTCACCCTGAGTCAGCTGGGATAGACTCCCTATGAGTCTGAGGAGATTATATAACAAAATATGAGCAAGTCCCAAGAATAATGAAGAAATAATGAGAAGTTTCCTGCACACTGTTCTTTAATTTCGTGTTTCCTCTGCCCTCTGACTTTTGCATTAAGTGGAACACTTAATCTCAATTTCCTTAATTTCCTAAACGCGCTGTGTTTTATTTTTTTTCACCTGCAGGCCTCAGACAGAGATTTCCTAAAGCTTAGAACTTCCTGTTGGACTTCAGAACCGTCTGCTTTGATAATCTGCCAGCCCTGGTTAATATTTTAGAAGAAGACAAACAACATTGTTTGTTGTACTGGCTCATCTTGTGTAATTATTACAATGAGTAACATCACGAGATCCAGAAATGACCTGAACAGACAGGCTACACTGTAAAAACGAAACCTATGCGTACAGTTACAAGTTACGGTAGATTTAGGCAACTAAATAAATAAAAATGTGTATAAATTACAGATATTAAACAAATTAGTACAGAAATAATCCAATATTTTTGTTTAAAGAAAATGTGCTTTTTTATTTAGTGTTTTTTCTACTTTTTAAAAGTCCATCTACATTTCTGTAAAAATGAATGAACAATAAATATTTTGAATAATTGTAAATAACTGTTTATCCACATACTAAATGTAAATGTCTTTACATGTATTTCACTACATCTTTTATTTTATTTCAATGTTTTTGTTTTATTCAAAAATATAATTTTTCAGTTTTCCAGATTTTTTGTTTTACAGAAACTTAATGATTTAAAGTGCATTATTCAGCTTTCTTAATTTACATGAAATATGGCAACAACTATAAATATGTAGCTCTTTATTTGAAGATTTATGCCCATACCATAAATTCAAAATTTTCTTTTCTTAGAGTAAATAACTCTTATTAGTTTGATATTTGATGCGTAATTTTAACATTTAATCTCTGTAACTTTTTGGTTTGTTTTTACAAAGATGCACTGCACTCAAATCTTTTAGTCATATTAAACCACTTTAACAATTTAGGAAACATCTGTTGTAATGTAAATGTGTTTAAATTAATTCAACTGAAACTTTAATTTAATTTAAAACATATTTTCTTTTCATTTTAATTATACTGGCAGTTATATGATCATTTTTTACAGTTGTGTTGTTGTTGTTGTTGCTGGGTTTTATTTTTTATTTTTTTACACTGCGGCGTGTCTTTAGGTTGACCACATCTGTCACATGAATGAATCTGCAGCTGCAGTTGCGGACGCTCACCCTCAGACTGTTTCCCGTAAGCCACCCCATGTGGGTGGATGCTGTACGGTCCGTTCGCCATGTTCCTGAAAGTGACGACAATCGTCTCTCCCTCCTCGGCCCTCAGTGTGGGCCCGAGAAGACCTGCAGAGAAAGATGATCGCAAGTTTATTTATCTGGAATCCACACAAGGATAAACTCAGACTGATTCATCACAGTGCTGCTGAATCACAGACTGTTACTGATCAGCAGATGTAATTTAACCACCGGAATATGTGTTGTAACATCCTCTTATGCAACAATAATGTCATGTATTTAGCCTGTCAGGTATGGAATCAATAGTTAAGTTTCGTTTCTGCACTATGATGTACTTTGGCATTAAATTAGAGGGAAAAGAAGAGCATATGGAGAGAAGGACCTGCCAATTTTTAAAATATTTTTTAAGAATAGAAGGAAGAAGGCTGTAAAACAGGTTAGTTCTTTCTGTAAAGATTCACAAAAATGACAGCTGCTTCTATACTGTGTAGCAGCTGTGCTACAAAATAAGGCATCTATCAAAGTAGGTGGCACATTAAAGGAAAAAGTAAACTTTTCCAAATGTGGAAAGTAAATGCACCTTTTCAGACTTCCTGAAGATTATTTTCTTTTCTGTCACAGTGAGGTGTTGCTTCACAGAACATGTGGTGTTTTGCGACAGCAGGTGGAGAACAGTTTCCAGCTCCAAAACCAACATTTTGTGTTAATGAATATTAATGTTGTAGTTAAACGTGTCTTATTTGCACTCTAATTGGTGCCACATTAAATCATCCTGTCAAGGAAACCTGCTGAAAAATGACAGTTCTGTATGTGTTAATTCATTTCCAGGGAAGGAATTTAAAGTTATTATCTGTGTGGGAAGTGAATTTAGAGACAGTGTTCCTTTGTAATCAGAGCCAGACAGAGTGTGTTCATGCAGCGTTTACCCAACCACGATGGATGAGTCTTAGCCTGCCTGAAGTCTCTGTCATACTCCCGAAAGACCACTTTCTTATAGGTGGGACTGAACCTGAGCAATCGTGGAAAAACACAAAATATTAATCATAAAAAACAAGGAAACTCCCCAGTGAACATAAACACAGCAGTGCAGGGATTTTAAGATATGAAGGCAAAACTTTCACTGTGTGTTCTGTACATTGCAGCTAAATGTGTGTCAGAGCAGCGCTGATATCTTAGAAGAGGAACAGCGTGTTTAAACAAGGACAAACTGGGTGGCTTTACCAGGATACACAGTGAAATGAAACTTCCTAAACCCTTTTTTCTAACTGTACTTTTACAGATCTTCCCTGCTTTGATAAATTGCAGAAAATAAAAAGTAAAATCACAAAAACTGTTTTATTTACCCACTAAGAATAATGTACCATGACCAACTTTTTTTTCTGTATTTTTATTAGCAAAGATTATTGTTGTTTTACACTTATTTGGTATCATTTGAAAGTAGAATTATGTAAATCAAAATCAATTTAACAGTTTTTTTTTAATTGTTTTGAAAGATTGCAGATAATATCTACTAAAATCATTGAAAAAATGTAATTATATGCTAACTGTAAAAAAAAAAAACTGTAAAAAAAAAAAAAACAAAAACAAACCAAAAGCGTACGTAATGTCCACATCAAAAATCTGTATTTTCACAAATAATAATTTTGTTCTTTTTTTTTGACAATGTGTGACTGCACAATTGCACTATTTTTTTTGCAACTACTTTTAAATTAACAAAAAACATCATTATTTTACAGATATTTGTGTAATTTGAAAGAAAAATAATCTATATTAGGATTTGAAAGATTTTTTTTTTTTTTACAGATTTTCACTGCTTTAATTGCAGAAAATATCTTAGAAAATGCCAAAAAGTGATATTTACATGTTGCCTGTAAATCTGACTAATGCTATAAATAACACCCACAACACACACAAAAAAAAATAGCAATGCTTTTTAGTGTATTTTAGTATTTTACTGCATTCTAATCTGCCAAAAAAAATAAAGTAAAAATCACGATTTTACAGATATTTTCCATCATTGGCATAGTTTTTCAAAGTTACAGCATTCCATAATTTTTACCACATTTTTTCTGGCAGCACTGATGCCAGATTTTAGCCCCTTTTTTTAATCAGGATTTTTTTACAGTGCAAAAACAACTGAAGTAATGAAAAGCAAGTCAATGAATGTAATGAAGTAAATAAATACAAAATTAAAAGAAAAAAAATATTCCAGAACTCCTTTAATTTCCCAGTGTTTCAAGCAGTTTCCTACCTGTTTGAGTCATTTCCACTGTAGTTCCAGTCTATCTCAACAGCAGCGATGTAATAGTGTCTCTCTTTGACCTGATCTGCTTCGACATGCAGGACAGTCAGAAGAACCAGGACGGGCAGGACACAGCCATATCCGACCCAGGAGCAGAGCCTCATGTCTGCCTTCAATCCTCCAGCTGCTCTGGTCTGCAGGTGAAGAAGCTGCGATCCTCTCTGTGTTTTATCTGACACTGACACACTCTCACATCCAAACTTTGTGTCTGGGGGCAATGAACTGTGTGTCTGTGTGTTTTTTTTTTTCCCCCTCCTCTCCTGTAATTGAGACCTCATGTGTTTGGCTGTGACTCATCCTTCAGGGGTGTGCTCATTCCCATCATCCCCCTTAAAAACCTTCATGTTGACGAGGGCTGAACTTTACATGGCAAATTTCTACGACCTCAAAATGTCCCAGCACCTCATAAAAACCTGCCATAACTTGACAGCAAAACATTGTATATTTAGGTTGAGCCAACGCACAGTTTCTTTTACTTGTATTTGTGCCACAGACAGATTCTTACCAGTCTGCATTATTACTGGTTCATTTAAGTACCTGCCAGAGAAGCCTTAGCCGACAATTATGTGAGAAGAGCATTTTAGGTCTGAAATGTGTATCAAGTTCTTATGATAAGATGTTCTTTGCGTGTTATAAAGTTCTTAAATGTTATGTTTTTAAAAAGCAAATAAGGGTGTTCTGTACAGTACCAGTCAAAAGCTTGGACACAGCCTCTCATTCAATGGTTTTGATTTATTTTAATTATTTTCCACATTGTAGATTAATACTGAAGACACCAAAACTATGAAAGAACACATATGGAATTATGTAGTAAACAAAAAAAAGTGTGACCTTTCTTGAGAGTGTGTGCAAGTTAAAATTTCAACTGGTCACATTGACTGATGATCATGAAGCTGTTTTAGTGTTGCTGTAACTGGAACAGGCAGCTACTGTGTTCACCACAGAGGTGGAAGGTAGTGCTTTTAGAACTTTGGTGGACTTTGGCATTTACGCATAAGAAGGTGGAGCGCACTTGCATTCACTGCTTTCTATGTGTTGAACAATGCCCCTACATGTGCATTGTGGAAAAAATCACTCGGTTTCATCTCGGACAAATCTGACACTGGAACGCCCCAGTTTAACTATTTTCAAAGTGTTTTCAGTCACACGCCTGTCTGAGCACTGCAGCCACCAAGCAGCAGCCACCACAGCCTGCAATCTGTAAAATGTAGTGTCTGTCGATAAGCAGATGTTCAGCAAGTGATGTGTGTCACCTGTGACCAGGTACGAGGTGCGACCAAACAACAAAGTGCTACCAGTGATAAAGTTAGTCTGGAGCCCTGTGTCCTCAAGTGCAGTCGCAAAAACCATCAAACGCTGGGATGAGGACCGCCCCGGGGAAGGAAAACCAACAGTTAGCTCTGCCGCAGGATAAGTTCATTCGAGTTACCAGCCTTGAGACTGTTGGAAAACCATTCCAGGAGACGACCTCATGAAGCTGATTGAGAGAACGCCAAGAGTGTGCAAAGCTGTCATCAAAGCAAAAGGGGGCTACTCTGAAGAATCTACAATATGAAACCTATTCTGATTAACACTTTTTTGTTTACTACATAATTCCATATGTGTTCTTTCATAGTTTTGATGTCTTCAGTATTAATCTATAACGTAGAAAATAATCTAAATAAATAAAAAGCATTGAATGAGAGGCTGTGTCCAAACTTTTGACTGGTTCTGTATCTAAAAATGTCCAAATTTACATGAATTTCCAGACCAGAAATCTGAACTTT